GGAGTATATGGGGATCTTATGATCATGCAGCCAAAGTCATATTCTATCTACTTAAGGGGCACCCTAAACCCTGAACCCTACACCCTAAACCTTGGGTACTGCCCCCCCTCAGTAACAGTTGGATAATAATTATAATATGTTTATATATAGCCCTTAATAGGACCCCGAATATAGATTGTTACTGGGGGGGGGCAGTACCCAATCTAAACCCTAAAACAGGAACCCCTAACTTCTGGAAGCGCCCAAATGTTCCTGCCTTTCAGGCGGTATGCGCGGAGATCCGCATCGAGGACGTCGGGCCCCGTTGTCCGCTCGCGAGCCAGTTTCCTGAGAATGTGCTACCGGGTCCTTGAAGAGGCTGGAATTTGTGAATATGCGAACTACTCGTTTTAAAGGGGTTATACAGCAAGTGGGGATCTGCCAAACTAGTGAGTTTAGGGCCAGGGCTAGGCGGAAGCTGGAAAGGTTATCGCAGATGCAGAGCTTTCTCAGAGCTTTCTCATGTGTCTTTGACTTCATGTGCAAGAGATGATTTGGAATTGAGCTCTAAGGTTTGAACTATGATTCCCCAGTATGGGCCCTCAATCCTAGGGGCCTTACATACTTACCTGTTAAATCCCTTGTCTCCCCACAAACCCAACCAAGGTCCATAGCTAGGACCAGGAAACAGGTAGGGGCCTACACTAGTACTCTATAGATTAGTGCCTACACCACTCAAGGGCCCAGAAAGAAGCTTGAATGGACCCAGACATATGCAACAAGATCGGTATCCAACTCCATAAACAATACTTACTTTGGGTTACAAAGTCTATACATAGTACCTACTTTGGGACCTAGAGTAGAGTCTATGAGTGATACCTACTTTTGGGCTGTTGCATCCCTAGGGCTATATGCAGACTAAGAGGAACGAATGACACCTGATGCATGTAAACCTATGAAAAGGCTTGCTTTATCATCCGCAATTCAATGCGAAAGTGTAGGGACTCAAGGAGGAGTGCGCGAAGTATCCTCCCTCGAAAAAAACCCAAGCCAACCAGACGATCATTCCGCTCATGGAAGCCTGCGGGTGCCGCATGTATACATAGAAGAAAGGATGCTCCCCGCCCATAGGGTTTCCTCCAGACTCCAGACTCTAGGGACCCCTTGGACCTGTGGATATGTGGCAATTACAGGGGCGATGATCAGGGGTCCTTATGAAAGAGATGAAGATCTTAGGGATTCCTTATTGTCGGGATTTAGACCTCAGGAGGTCCGTCTTTTTGGGAGTAAATGGGCAGAATTTGGATCAATGCCCGTATTGGGCATTGATCCAATCCCTAAACCCTAAACCCTAAACCCTAGTGGACTACTGAGCCGGGCGTCAGCTCGTCTAGCTTCACGTAGAGGTTGTCACCATCCTCTAAGCCCGCCTGTCAGGTTTAGGGTTTAGCGGTTTAGGGTTTAGGATTTAGGGTTCAACCCCAAGGATGCAAATGGCCCAATGTATTGACCCTAATAACGGAGAATCAAATGGAAAAGGAAATGGAAACTAGGAGCTTATAGGGGTGTTTCGGGATCCAAGTAGCCCTTGTAGGTAATACTTATACACTTTGGGGCCTAGCGTGAGTATTATTTGTATACTTGGATCCGAAGGGCAAGGCTAAGCTCTGCCTGGACCCTCCAATGTAGTTCCTTTTTGGGTTTGGTATAGTTTTTTTGATTAGGACTCTTATTAGGTTTTTCAAAACGGTACTACATTGGAGGGTCTAGGTGAGGACTTAGGGCTTCGAGTTTGCGGCTTAGGGCACGTCAGGCTTAGATTTTTGGGTCCAGGACTTCCGGACGAGGAGCAGCTTAGTTTAGGATTTCGGTTTTTGGGCTTAGAGTGGTAGTTTCCCTCAATAAGAGGGACCCTGATATAATCCTTATTATGGGTACCCCCAAGAAGGTACCCCTAATTTTAGGAAGCCCTTAGTGTGTGTAGGAGGATGCAAAAAGTTTTTTGTTGAGGGGTCTGCAGTTGGAGGCCTTTTGCATGTGCAGGAACCTTGGGCAGGACGTTGAAATTTGGCATGTATAAACAAAGTTTTTAGGTTTAGGGTTTAGGGGTTTAGGGTTTTGGGGGGGTCCCTATTTTCAGGACCATCGTATTTTGGGGTCTCTGTTGGGGTCTCCCTATTTTGGGAAGCTATCATTTCTGGTTTAGGGTTTAGGCGTCGGGGATTACTGGTTCCTCATTGGGATACAATTTCACAATCATCAATGTATGTCCGCTACAATAAATTGAAGACTATAAGTTTGTTTTTGACGCAGATCAGCTGTTTAGGGCTTTGGGCTTGGGCTTTATGCTGTCGGAAACCTTCAAATGACTCCTGTCTGCCACCTGAAGCAAATTCACCTGAGAATCACGTGCCACAGGTCTGTGAGCACACCTAGATTCCAAAGAATTCCCTCTCTGTACTATCATATTTTCATGTGTTCTTGGTTGGCAGGGGCTTTACGTGGGATGTAAGGCCTGATTGGGGTTGCTATCGGCTTGAGATGCCCTCTTGTGTGCTAGGATTTGGGGGTCTGTATTGGGGTCCCCCCATCTATGGAAAC